ATAAGTTTATCGATGTAGAAGATATCTTATACAAAATAATAAAAATAATCTTCACCAGGTGGCAGTAGCGCACAGAACACTTCTATCATTTATTAGCTTTCACACAAAATGCTCTTCAGATAATAAAAATACTATTAAATATAATGTAAAATTAATTATAAATATCTAAGTCGATTAATTAAATAATCTAAATTTTCTTATTTTTTATAATTATTTTATTATCGTCAAAGTTATATAATAATTATTATATCATAAATATATATTTTAGATAAAAAAATCGATATGGAAAGAAAAACAATTTGTACACAAACATCTATCGAAGCTATCCAATTTAACGAGAAAAATCAGGATAACAAAGTAGAGAGTGATACGAATCAATTTTCTCCGTGCATTTATTTGAAACAAAAAAAATCGTCGGCATTTTGGTATATCGATGAAGATCCTGCTCCCCAATGGCTAATCGAGGAAGCCCTCGCTAGTGGGACTGAGGTATGCAAAGAGTATGTATATTAAAATATTGCAAAATTCTCCAACGAAAATTCGAACGATTCATTGAAACTTGCGATCGTGTGTTATTGAATTCAAAGAATTTAAACGCTCAAAATTTATATCAGTTTTTGTTATAACGATTACTTTCCCAAACTCCTTTTCAAAACTTTTAATAAATTCAGATAAGATAATTCTGGTTTTAATACTAATACTTTTAAGTTCATGACTTATGTATCAGATTTGTTATAAAGTTTTATCTTTTTTCATATTATGTAACTTGAATTTGTAATTCATAAATATTTAAATTATTTTATATAAATGATCGTAAGATTATTTTAACATCGAGTTAAATAAAAAATTATTTTAAATAAATGAGTAGAAAAATAGTTTAAATATGCATATAAAATTTTCCATAAAATCTATGGTATCATAGTAATTAAAATTTGCATTAAAAACAAATGATAATTTTTTCATAACAATATTATTTAACGAATTCTAATGTAAATTTTCTTTTTTCAACGAAATATCCTCGTCGAATTGAATCGACGCGTCGAGCAGCAGACAAAGGAAAAAATATCGTCAAACAAAGAAACCGAGTGAGTTTATAGAGAATACATAAAAAGTAATATATTTTATATTTTTTATTAATTATTTTATATTTTAATGGAAAAAGCCATTTATCTGTTCGTTACAAATTCATGAAAAATTTTATCGCGCGAATATTTCAAAATTAATATGGCTGTGAATTAAATAAAATTTCTCTTAGAATATATATGTATGTATATGTTTGTTATACCATAGAACCATAAAATATTCAATGCTTTTTTTATTTCATGCCTAAAATTGAAATTTCAATTAATAGAATATTAATTGACATTCTATATCTATGGCTACGTATCAAGAACAAGTAAAGACAAAAAAAGTAAATAATAAAAAAAGGATGGAAATATGATAAAAATTTGAGAATTAGCGCCATCTTCAGGATGCCGCAAATGAAACACATATAACAAGGATAGCAAATAATAAAAGAAGGATAAAGATAGAATAAGAATTAGTCATCAACGCCATCTCTTGAATGTTAAAAACATTTCTTCAAAAATTATCTTTTTAGAGAACTTGAGAGATGGCGCTAGTTTTCAATTCTTACTCTATTTATTTATAGAAAACTGATTTTGTCACACAAGAGATGGCGCTAATGATTAATTCTTACTCTATTTTATTTATAAGAAAACTGTTTTTATCAAACAAGAGATGGCGCTGCTGATTAATTTTTATTGTATATCTATTCTTTTTCTATTATCTATGCTTATTGTATATATTTTATTTGTGACACTCTGAAGATGGCGTTGATTCCACAATTTTTATCCTATCTCTATCTTTTTCTCACTATTATACTCTCTACAAAATATTCTCAAGAAACTTGATTAAAAATAAAAAACTCTTTTATTTTCTATATGATTTTAATAATATTAAATTTAATAAACGTCTTTATTTTTTATTGAATCATTATGGATATTTTATTATTTATATTATATAAATATCAATACTTATAATTGTATGGTAGATATATGAATATATAAATAAATTTATTCTTAATAAAATTATATTAATTCATTTTTATGTATATTGTAATCATTAGATACAAAACAATCATAGCAGAACTTGAAGTAAAGCTCATTAGAACAAAAGAAGAGCTTGAAGAAGCTTTAAAAGCAAAATCTGCAGTAAAGGAAAAATATAAGAAGTAAGATTGCATAAGATATTTTATTTACATACTAATATAGATATATTTTTTATTTGTATCTAATTTAGATCCTTAGAAAATGTAAAGGCAGAAGCTCGAAAAGAAAACGAAATATTACAAGAAAGAATTGTGCGTATTTGTACTTCTGTTTTGGAAAATTTCGGTCCCTATTCCATGGATCGTAAAAGATGCAATACTTTTCAAATTAAACCTTGTAGAAAATTGAAATATCAAAAGAAAATTATGAATAAATTACACAAAAAGGTAAGCGCTACTCACTATATTTACTATACTTACCTATTATTATATTTACTATATTTATTATTGATTAAAAATAATCGAAAAACTGTTCCTTATCGTTCTTTCTCATTCTTTCTTATATTTATTAAAACTAGAAATATCAATATGAATATGAAACTATTCATAATTCAAAAACGATATCATTATTTATTCCTTGATAATAAAATGATCAATTCAACATAACAAATCATATTTATTGATGTAATATGTCAAAAACTTGTTTCACTTCTGCCAGTTGCGGATGGCAGTAACGAAATCAAATAAATTGAAAGAAGAATTAACAACGACCCGAAAAATGCTGAAAGACAAATCGGAAGAACACGATTCCATGAGCAAATGCTTCGATCAGCTGAAGGAAGAAATGGAAGCCGCCGAAACGAATTTGAACGAATTGATAAGCGAAAACGTTTCCTTGAGAAAGAAGATCGATGAAACACGAGAATGGTTGCAGCAAACTTCGGGAAAAGAGCATAACATGATTCGAGACACGAGAAACAGAGAAATAGTCAATCTGAAGAAAAAAGCTGAAGAAGATTCTGCGACGATTATTCAACTTAAACAAAAGTATTTGAAATTTTTTAAATGAAGAATTAATTATATCTGATTCCACCATTCAAATAGTATAGGATTTAAATATATGGAACATTATCTATAATCTTTTCTTTACTTA